ACGGGGCGGAGACCATGCTGAACAACTATGCGAGGGACATTTTGGCCGGACGCACGCCCCCCAACGAGATGAGGACGTCAGCACGCGAGCTGCTTGTGCTCGGAATCACGAAGATGGACGAGGGGCTCCCGATGGAGCCAGCTGGGCCCGCAACGAGCAGGTGCGGATCCGCAACGAGTTCGTGCCGATGCTGATGAAACTCGAGACGTCCCTGGGCATCCCAGAAGGCGACCGCCTGGCGCCCCCCCTTCGGGAGGAGCCGCCGGCGCAGCCCAGCGCCTACGATGAGTCCTACGACGACGAGGAGCCCAACGATTGCGAGATGCTCGATCCGCCGTGCACTGGCGGGGCCAGCGCCGCAGCTCGACGGCTCGCCCCCCGGCCGAGGAAGCGTGGGCCCTCCCCAGGCAGCGCGCCCAGCGGGAGCGCTCCGGTACGCCCGAGGATTCAGGCGCAGGCAAAGGGCGCGAGGAGCGTGCAGCTCAGCAGCCAGGGAGGAGTGACGCCCCAGGCCTCGCGCCCTGGCGCAACGCCGCCGCCACAGAGACCACCGCCGGCGCAGAGGGCGAGACCTGCCGGCAGCCGGCAGGCCCCGCCGCCACCAGACACAGACGTCCGCTGCGGGGGACCACCGTTGGACGAGACGCCGGCCGCCGCCCCGACGCGCGGCCAGGCGGAGGCGGCCCAGCATGTCGCCTGGTGCGCCTCGCACCCCGAGTACCGGCCCGAGCTCGTGAAGGAGGTCGTGGAGCGGGGTAACAGGCTGCTGCGCACGACGGGCTCTGTGGAGGAGGCCGCCAGGCTCCTGAAGGCAGCCTGTGAGAAGCTGCACGGGAACCCCTTGGAGGGTGTCTTGGGGAGATGTTTGAGAAGTGCTGGAAGGGCTCCCGATTCGGCGTCGTGATCTGGGCCTCCGAAGACGTCAGCGACATACTCGAGACGTCCGCCGTCATCGAGTCGCCCTCCGGACGCGTCCCCAAGCACAACCTCGACAGGACGATCTCCTCGGAGGGCCGGCCGATCCACGACGTGAGGTGTGCCAACGTGGACAGCCCTAAGGAGCAGCACCCGCCGGCGAAGCAGCCACTCCACCGTGGGCTCGCCAGGCTGTCGCTGTGGTGGGAAGCCCGCCATCCCGGAGTGCCGCAGCTGTGCGCGAAACGGGACGTCGCGCGGGCCTTCAAGTGGCACCGCCTCGAGCCGGCCGCCGTCCCGGAGTTCGGGGCGTCTCTGCCAGGAGACGCCGTCGGCATTAAAGGGAAGGTCGTGATGATCCACTCCGTGTTGGTGTTTGGCTGGTCGGGCAGCCCAGGGGAGTACATGGCATTCTCCTGGGCCGCGAAGAAGGGGCGCGAACGCCACTGGCCCTCCGCGCCCTCCGTCAACGGCCAGATCAGCTTCGCGAGCAAGTGGCTCATGGACGACGGGGTGGTGTTTGAGCCCCTGGTGGGTCTCCGCCCCTGGCTCTCGGGAGACGAGCTCGACCGGGCCATGCGGCGCGTCTGGGGACCTCAGGCGGTCAACGCCGACAAGCTCGCTGAGGAGGGTGAGTTCGCACCCGAGCAGCTGGTGCGGGGGCTACACGTGAACTTCAGAAAGAAGACAACACGCCTCCCCGGGCAGAAGTGCATCAAGGCGCAGTACCTGCTCGCCCTGCCGGAGCTTGCCCACGGGTCACGGCGCGCCCCCACGAAGCTTGTGCAGGAGCTGAGGGGGCGCGCGCAGCGCTGGAGTTCCGCGCAGCCCGCGATCCGCCCTGAGCTCCCAGTCCTCGACAAGCTCTTGGGGCATGTAGCCGAGGGCTCCGCCTGGGCGAGTCCTAAGGGCGACCCCGACACCGTGGCGGCCGCGTGGGAGGAGTGGGGCCGCACTCTGGAGCTCTTCCAGGTGATGTTCGACGCGCCGGAGGCTTGGAGCACGTCTTTCCAGGCAGGCTTCAGCCAAGCGCTGGCCCCCCGCGAGCTGATGGCGCTGCCGGGGGTGGCGCGCTGGACTCGCTGGACCGGAGGCGACGCAACTCTGGATGCGATCGGAGCCGTCGACTGGGGCCGTGCGAGCGAGAGTCTCGCCGCCGGCCCACTTTCGTACTTGGCCACGGAGGCGAGACCGCTGCTGGATCAGCTCAGCAACACAGTGACCGGACCGAGTTCAGAGGACGACTGGATCATCTCGGTCGTGGAGCTGCTGGCGCTGGTGGCGCAGGCCGCAGGCTGGGGACATCTGTGGAAGGACGAACTCGTGTTCTACGTGACGGACAACGCGAACGTCAAGTCGTGGCTGACGAAACGTCGGCCCAAGAACGCACTGGCCCGCCATCTGCTGCGCGTGGTCGAGAGGCTAGAGGCCGAGCACGGCTTCATGCTTACCTCCTTCTACGTGCGCACGTACCACAACGAGGTGGCGGACTGGCTGAAGAGAGAGGAGGTGAAGAAGGTGCACGGCGAGCTCGCGAGGGCCGGCTGGCACCGGTTGGAGCCCCCCGCCGCCTGGGGCGCCATCGCTAAGGACGCCCAGGACAAGCTCCTGCGGATTCCCGGCGAGACGGGGCCGCTGGCCGAGTCGGCCCTGCGGCACCGGGCCTTGCGCACGCCAGCCACGCCGAAGGCGTGCCTCCCCCTGACCAGCCAGACCGGCATCGAGCTGGGTGGGCTACTCCAAGGATACCGAGATGCTTTCGTGAAGCTCGGAGGGCGCGAGGCGGGCCGCGGGCAGGCAGCCACCTGGATGCTCGCGTCGCAGTCCCTGGACCCGCGGGGCTTCGAGACCGAGGCCCTCCTTGTCCGCGTGGGACAGGACCGCCCCGGCGTGGTCGTCGCCGACGCGCCGGTTGGGCTCGCCGTTCAGAAACTCGAGCGCTCTCTCAAGCAACTGCGCTACACGCTGACCTCGCTCGACCTCCCGTGCACCGAGCATGGGGGCGCCACCTCGAGGACCAGGAAGGTGCTGGTCGCCTGCCGTGGCTCTTTCGCGCGCTGCCTGGCGAGCATTAAGTTGCCGCCGGCACGCCGCGTGGCCCACGGAGTCAAGCATTTCTTGGAGCTGAACCAGGACGGGGACTGGCTGGACGGCCAGGGGGAGACCCTCCTTGACCCTAAGATCCGCGCCACTGGCAACCCGCTGTTGCCAAAGCCCGCTGGGCACATCGCCATCAAGGGGGTCAAGCACCTGCTGCGCAGCCCAGACGGCCCTGCCGGCACCCCACGGTGGCCAGGCTAGGAGCCCGCGGGGCCCAGCGCCACGCTGCTGTACATCCCCGGCAGCGCGCAGGGGAGGGTGAGAGCGCTCACGCCGCGAGAGATCTGGCGCATCCAGGGCGGCAGCGACGCCGCCTGGGACAAGTACCTGGCCGAGGGGACCACCAGCGAGGAGCTGCTCCGTGCGGCGGTGCGGGCCCTGCCGCCGGAGTCGGCTCAGACGGTGCTCAGGGCGGTCGCGCTGGCCCCGGGCGTGGACGCCCAGAAGGTCGGGGTCTGCCATGGCCCGGAGGAGCAGGCGGCGTGGGAGGCCACGCAGCGCTGGTTCCGGGCCTGGGCCATCGCCCCAGACAACCCAGCAGCCGAGGTCCTGCGTCAAGACCGAGAGGCAGCCGGAGGCGCCCTCTCCACCGGGATCCACAAGAAGCGCCACAGGAGCCAGAGGATCAGGTTCAAGCAGATCGACGACGACACGATCCTCGGCCCAACCGCCCTGCCGTCCGCCGATGAGGTCCGCTTGGACGCGGGCCTGGCCAGCCCTCGTGCACCTCGAGGTGCCCGCTCGCGGCTAGCCCGCAAGGAGCGGACCGTGGCGACGCCGGAGCTGGTCCAGCCGCTGGCCCTGGGGCGGGCGCGCGAGAGCATGCCAGTGCCACCCGCCCACCCCATGGTGGGTGGGGAGCACTACGGCGAGTGGCTCCGCGACCTGCGCACGGAGGTGATGCAGCAGAAGCTGAGCGAGGGCATCCGCAGCGGGTGCGAGGGCGGCTGGCGACAGTGGACCGCGTACCGCGCTGCCCAAGGGCTGGGCCCGTGGCTCCAGGGCCGGGGCCGCGGCGAGCGGACCAGCGACGAGGACGCCTTGATCGACTTCGCGGTCATCATGGCGGTGGCCTTGTCGCGGACGGAAGGGGCGGTGAAGCAGAAGCTGTTCGCCATCGCCATCAGGTACGCCCACCTGATGGTCGGGTACGGCGACCCGCTGCTTCACCGGGGGCGGCTCTGGACGACCCTGGCCGGCCTGAAACGGCTGCAGGGGCCCAGCAGCAGGCGGAAGAGGCTGGTCACCCCGCGGATGTTGCTGTGGCTCAAGCAGCACATCCATGCAGATGCGGTGTTGTCCCAGGCCAGCGCCGCCACGCTGTTTGCCGCGGTGCTCCTCGCCTTCTTCTTCCTGTTGAGGGCGTCGGAGTACCTGGTGGTGGCGGGGAGATCGTGGTCAGTCGACAGGGTGGTCCACGGAGAGGACCTCGATGCGAGGCGCGAGGGGGGGCGCGTCGGCCAGTTCGCCCAGGCCGACGAGTGCGTGCTGCACATCAAGGGCTCGAAGACGGACCAGTACAATGTGGGGGCGGTGCGCAACCAGTACGCCACCCACTCAGCGCTGTGCCCCGTCGAGGCCCTGGCGGCTATGCAGGCCCAGCGCCCGCAGCGTTTCGACCGCGGCGCGGAGGCGCGGCTGCCCCTGTTCTGGTGGGCCTCAGGCGCGCCCGTGAAGCGCGAGGAGGTGCAGCACTTCCTCACGCTGGCGGGCCTGGCGGCAGGTTTCAAGCGGGAGGAGATCGGCTCCCACTCCCTGAGGATCGGCGGTGCCACGGCGATGTACCACGTCACGGACGACCTCGCCAAGGTCCAGAGGCACGGGAGATGGGCGTCGGACTCCTTCCACGCCTACCTCTGGGAGTCGCACGAGCCGCAGCGTGACGTAGCCCGGCGCATGGTCAATGACCACTCGGAGCTGACGACGCCAGCAGCGAAGCCCCAGGAGGGAGCCGCCGGCGCTAGCGCCAGGCGTGCCCCCCCCAGGGGCTTGTCAGCCCTCGGGGCCGCAGCGGCGGCCGCGACCACACTGGGTCAGGCCACGGCGGCCAGCCAGGAGCTGGCGGTGGTGGAGGAGGACAAGAAGCATGTCAGCGTGCGTCTGGCGGCGGACGGGGAGGACATCACCATCGCGATCCCCCTGGAGATCATGGTGAAAGTCGTCATCTCGCTGGTGGTGGTGCTGGCTACGACGTTGGCGATGGCCTGGCACTGCTTGTGCAGCCCGAGGCGGGACAGCCAGCCCCAGGGCTCGAGCGGGGCGCCGAAGGAGGCGACGGAGGACGGCAAGAGGGCGGCCAAGAAGCCCAGGAATATCTACTGCGACGCGGGGATCCAGGGGCCGGTGCTCTGCAGCGGCACCCGCTACGTCCACAAGAACCGGGGCTTCCAGCGCGGAGACGAGGTCACGCGCGAGGTGGCCGCTAAGCCGCACCGCGGCTGAGCAGTGGCGCCGCCGGCCAGAGGCCTTGCGAGCGAGTGAGATGGGGGGGGCCGCGAGACGGCTGAGCGTGGCGCCGCCGGCCGATGGCCTGGCGAGCGATGAAGGGATGGAGTGCTCCGCCGCCGGCCACGTCTTGGCGTGCGGAGTCACGCCGGCGCATGACGTCAGGCGTAGCGTTTCGAGCGCCCGCGGGCAGCTGGGCGCCTGCGGGCTGCAAGGCGATGGCGGCGGCGGCTGGGCGCCCGTGGGGCAGCCAGGCCGCCTGGGCCCCCTGGGCAGCCGAGCGCCCGCGGGCAGCGGTGCGCGCGCGGCTTGCGGTGCATGGGTGCGACGGCGGCCGGGCGCCCGGGCGGCTGGAACCACGCTGGCGCCCTCTCCCCCCCCCCGCGTGGCCAGGCCCGTGGGTTTTCCCGCGGCCAGCCTGGCGCTGAATTCGCAACTGTAGTGCCGTCTCGAGGGGGCGGCGGTGTGGGCTTGGGCGCAGCCGGCGGCAGGCGCGGCCGCGCCGCCTGGCCGCGCCCCGCGCCGGCGCTGCGTAGGCACCGGCGCGCGAAGACCCTGGGTGTGCCGGCGGCCGCAGGCTGCCCGCGCCCCGGACCGCAGTGGAGGGTGCGCCGGCAGCGACCGCTGCCAGGCGCGCCCGAGAGATGGCGGCAGAACCCGCTGACGCGTGGCGGAAGGCGTGGAGCGGAGCGTGCGCACAGGCAGCGCCATGACAACATCGTCATCTGATTCATCATCTTATCCTCCTCGACCTCCCTCGGCATGGGGTCGAGGTGCCTTTTCGGTAGTTCGTTACTGCTGTCAGGGATAGCTTAGGCGTTTGGTTTAAACGCCAGGCTCTCCCTGGCCCCAGGAATGCGGGGGCCCGTCCTCTCGTGTCCTTGCCCCTGCCTCTGCTTGCCCCCCCCTGCTCCCCCCTCTGGTGCTCTAGCTTTTCTGGGCCGAGCTGGCCCGCCCAGGAGGCCCTGCAGGCCTCTCCCACCCGTTGGCCTTCGAAAGGCTCTCTGCCCGCGGTCGAGGGGCCGCGGGCGGCAGAGCCCGCTGGCGCGTGGCGGAAGGCGCGGAGCGGAACGTGCGCACACGCATCGCCATGACAACATCGTCATCTGAGTCATCATCTTTTCCTCTTCGACCTCCCTCGGCATGGGGTCGAGGTGCCTTTTCGGTAATGCGTTGCTGCTGTAGAGGAAATGTTGGGGCGAGGTTCAGCCCGAGAGAGTAGATGCTTGTGCCGGGTGGTCAAGCGGCGCGACAAGCGCGAGGCTCGCCAGGTAGCGCGGATGATTGCATGGAAAGGGCGTGGGCCGAGGGAACGGAACTGCAGATGCATGTCGAACGCTGCTACGACACAGGAGTGGACAAACAAGATGCAGGAGCAAGGTGTGGACGGAGGCGACAGTTGCGAGCTCATTCCCAATGGCGACTTCGCTGATTGAGGCAGAGCAAGGTGTATTGTTCTTGGACAGTTCTAAGATTGTGGAGAGTTGCCCCTCGCGCTCGATGGCGGCGGAGCCGATCAGGCTTGCCGTGTCGCCGAATTTGATTGACCAGGGGCTGCCCGCGCCAGTGATGGGCGTGGGCGCCGAGACAGCCAGACCCGAGCTGAGGGCCCTAACTTGCAGTGCTCACTGCGGTCTCTTTTCTCTGGGATGCGACGAGCGCGAGCGCTGCCGACGCAGTGGGCGGTGAGCGAGGCGGTGCGACTTGCCGGGGCCAGCGGCAAGCTCGGAGCTGACAGGGAACGCATCATCGTGCTGGAGTGCACAATAGCTAATATGTTCTTCCGAGCGCTTCTCGCGCGCACCGAATTCACCGAGCCTTCTCACGTGTGTGGAGGGCATCCTGGGGGGCCACGCGAAACCGCCATCGTTGCGCAACGGCGCGTCGCCTAGCGGCTTTTCTACGAGGCCAGGAAGTGCAACGTGAAGAGGATGCGCGATGCCATGGGCGCGTGCTACTCGATGTCACAGGCGTGCCTGCAGGATGGCCAGCTGGTCCTTTATGGTGCGTGCTGGGCGACGATGTATCTCCTGGAGATGCCCGTGCACCAGTTGCTGCTACTGCTGCAGGGCGGGCTGTCTGGCGACCCGCTCATGGCATTCGTCCTTTGTCATGCGCGTGAGAAAACGTGTCGAGCTTGGCCGCGGCGTGCGCGTGGCAGGAAGTTGCGTGAGGTTGTGTGCCCTGTGTCCCTTGTGTCAGGCTAGAGCGTTCAGGTTCTTTTCATTATGTTCGTTAATGGTGGTGTTGGTAACTTAACTTTACTGTTGAACGTGATGTTTCGTTTATTCTTGTGCGTGGTTCGCGACGGGATCGCGAGTTTGATGCTCGCTTGCCACGAATTGAGATGGCGCGGAATCACGCTGTGCAGGAGAGCATGTCGCGTCTCGTCGGGTCGGGCCCCCGCGGCGCTGAGGCGCATCTCCTGTGGCGCCAGGAGCTGCGGAGCAGGGCCGCCGCGAAAGCCAGGTAGCTGGGGCTCAGGTGTGGTTCGAGGTCTACATTGCACGATCTCCAGCATCGGCTTCGGGCCGGTCGAGCGGCCTGGTTTTCCTTGGCGAGTTTGGACTTCGAGCGCGCGCTTTACATGGCGGTGTAACCTGTTCAAGGGGCACGTAGTGAACGCGTGCTTTTTCGGGGGCAGAATGTCTCGCGAAAGGTTCCGCGCTGTCGCGCGCGGCCGACTTGGCCCCGGTCGATGGCGCGCCGGTTAAACATGCGCGCGTTCTTCTAGATGGTGCGGCTACTTTATCGAATGATGAATGGGAAACAGATTGTAAGATTAGAGTGTTGCGCGCTGCGAATTGAGTGCCTGCTCATCTTGAGCTGCGAGTGCGTAGACTCCAGCGACTCCAGACATGCTTGAGAAATTTGAGTCGGTCCGCCCAGTTCGCTGGAGTGGTTTTTGGTCCGCCTGAGGACGTCGAGTCCGCGCTGGCCAGGGCCTCGTGAGGCTCTCCTGTGAATCCATAGGCCAGACAGCTTCTCTGCGATATTCCGGCGCTGCAGTTTTCCTGCGATGGAGCTGCTTTTCTTCGGGCGTGCGAGAACCCCGTGGATATGATCGCGAAGGGGGTGGAATATTTCATGAAATTCAGGAACTGCGCAGCATGCTAGACAAGTCGAACGAGGATGGCCATATCTGTGCTGCGCAATGGCCAGACGGGGAGGAGCGCGGGGCTTGTCTTCCAACGCATCAGCGATTTCCAGTGCACTGTGCGAAGCGTAAGGGCGGTGCTCATGGGCGGCGGCTGCTTGGAATGTTGTATCGTATTGCTTGTGTGTCTGTTTTGCAGATCTGTTTTTATTATTAAGTATAGTACCATGTATCACATGACCATGAGTTTTGAAACCAAGAGATACCGAGCTTGCCGGAGCAGAATTGATGGAACGGGTATGTTGTATACGCGGATTTGTCCGACGTGCGAGTTCGATGATGTCGATGTGCTCCGTGGCCATGGCCTGTCTCTGCTCTTGCAAGCAGAGCTAGAACAGCATCGCGTCATCAAGCCTGCTCCCCGTGGCCTGGTTCGTCGCGAAATGCGGGGGGGGCGGCGCTGCGACGGGCGTGGGGTGCGCGAAAAGCAGGCCAGGAAGGGGCCCGCCATGGCGATGCTGGGCAATGCAGCCGGAGTGCAGGCGCTGGAGCACGCATTGCAGACAGTGAAATACGGCGGCAAGTCAGAGGGGGAGGTACAGACAGGGGCTCAGGTGCACGAGTTCCTGGAAGTGGTCAAGGGTCAAGGCAGAGGGCAGCGCGCACCATAGGGGGCAACGCCCCCTTGGCGGCGTTCGGCGTGGGATAGAGAGCCAGCGCAGCGCGGAGTCGTCTTAGCAGAAATTTGTGATCAATGCGTGCCGCGCCCCCCCCCCTGCTGCTCAAGGTGTCGTGGATCAACGACAGGGGGGCCGCGGGAATGTGGGTCGTCGGCAGCGAGGCGTGCCGCGTGACCGCCAACGCACAAGGCTTAGTCGTCATGCTGCGTGGCCCCGGGCGGGCAAATGAGCGGGCAGACCTGCGGGGCGTGGTCGAGAAAGGGGTCGGAGGGATAGGCGCGGGAAGCTCGTCCTCTGCATCGGCGCACCCCGCTCGAGTTCCCGCGGATGGCTCAGGGGCCGCGCCGTATCGCGTTCCATCCTGCGAGTGGCGGCGTTCTCTTTCAAGCCAGGCAAGGCCCCGGGATGCGGGCTGGCGGCGAGGCTGAAGGGTCAGGGCAGGGGCGGCAGCGAGTGGAAGAGAGCGAATTGGACACCGAACCTCCAGCCGACGATTTGGTTGAAGTGGGGCTCTGTGGATTTAATGAGTAGTGGTGCCCAGCCTTCGAGTGTCTTGTGCCTCGAGTGTCCACTGGGTGTGGCATCATATGCAGTAGTTTTGTGGAGCACCGCTGTCTCCGGATAGTGGTATGGCTTTTGCAATGCCAGGGGAACGTGACTTCAGTCAGCTGTGAGCGAGCCCTGCCTGCGCAGTGTGAAGATGAAGTGCTGGCGCCCCGTCCGTTCCCTCTTGCAGGTTTTCTTGAAAACGGCCGCCCCGCGTTGGGGTGCGCTGGCCAGCGGGCCCCGCGTGTGTTCCACCAGTGCTCGCGTAGCACGCCCGTGCTGCCCTTGCAGTGTGAGCGTCAATGCGGCATGCCGTGCCGAACTTGTACGCCCGCGACCCCGAGTTTAGCGCGCGTGCCGTCTTTTCGTTGGATACTCGAGAAGGGGCGAGAAGAATGCTATGCGCCCCTCAGGGGGTGTGATCGGAGACAAAGGGGGCGGGCATCGAAGGTCTGGATGAACCGCGTGTGGGCGATGATAAAGCACCCCCCTGAATTAAGGCTCTCTGTTTTTATTATCCCCGTCCAACAGGATGTAATGGTGGAGACGGGCGCGGAGGCCGAACTGTATAATCCACGGGGGAAGTGGCGAATCGAAGTTGCTATCATCTCATGTTGACTAGCAACAGGATCAAACGCATGGCCATGGTGGTCTCACCATATCAGCTTCCGCAATCACGAGCGCGTGGCAGGGCTGCGGGGTTCTCACCAGTTCAGTTCGCCCAGATCACGAACGTGCGGCAGGGCCATGGGACTCTCACCTTCTCAGCCGTTCCCGGGTCAGGAACGTGTGGCAGGGCCATGGGGGCCGACTGGATTTTGATTGTGCGTGCGTTTTTCGTCATGATCAACGTTATCATCATCATCACTTCACCTTCCCCAGGAAAATCCATTATTATCCCCGCCAGACCCCCGAACTTAATGAGTCCCCG